GTGTAATATCAATACGTTGTGGAATGTAAGTTAAAAATATAGCAAAGATAAGAAAAAAACAAAAACAAAAAAACAGAAATAATGCCGAGTAGAAATACGAACGAACGTAGGATGTGTAAAAATCTTCCAGTGGATAATGGAGGCCAAGTCTCAGCTTATTAACGTCCGCGAGAATGACACAATCTCGCGTGATAAGTGATAGATGCGAAGGCAGAAAGCGGAAGTTAGGGAGAAGGGATGAGAGTTAAATTGTATAGGAGAAAGGGGCCGTCGAAAATAACCGGGTTTATTCAGTGTGAGTAATGCTGTCTCGTACAGAGTCGGCGCTGGCATCTCGTAGCCTGTTGCTTGCAGATAAATTCACGGTCAGGATGTGGATTCAAATAGACTTAATACTTTTCTTTCATCATATTTCGCTTTTAGCCGTCTGAACGCCTAAGGAATTCTGGTGAACGTTCAGTGCGATGGTTCGAGTGTAAACAATCGGAAGTTGTTTCTGTATAATGAGACGTTAAGGAATGATACTCCACCCAAACTGCATCAAAACCTCCCAGCGCATATCCGTGTATGAGTCGGTCGTTTTTGTGCTAAGAACCATTACGTTAGGACGGGTTAAAGCATTTTCGTTTTCGAAACACTTGAAAGGTTCTGGTGTTCACTGAAGTTTATCAAAAGTTCTCCATAACTCTTTCAAAAGTTTTTATGTAGAGGTTTTCCTATTCTCAACTCGCCTTCGTTTTAAAGCATAATCGATAATTAGACAAACGAAGTATAAAACAGCGGTGAAATACGGGAGGACCTCTGTCCACCAATATTCATAGAGTAAACATAAATTAAAAAAGGTACAATTCCAAATGCAGTTAGGAAAAAAAACGCATAATTAAATTAATGATTCTATTTCTAATAAATAAATAAATTCTGATTTATTAAAAAAGTAAACATTTAAGGGGTATGTCCGGGTGGTCCAATGAATAGCCGTCCGGAATGAGAAATCGGAAAACCGAGTTAAAATTCGATTTTTAATAACCTTGGGAAAGATATGAAGCCAGCTCTTGTTCCCCAGATATGGGTTAAATAGTAGGACAGATTGGACTCTTCAGCTTTGGTTGGAAACCAGGCTAAAAGAAGTTTAACTGCGAATTCAGAATTGTATGTAAACTGGCGAATCACTTGTTATGCAGCTGAAGAAAGATAGCTGAGTTTACAATGCCTTATGATCAAGATTGTCGTCTTTTAATAAATTAATCAAATTTTTACCAATATAATTAGGATTAACCAGCGATAATTTTGTCATTTTTAGTTGATAACGTAAAAGAAAAATCGTTATTGTTTGATTTCTTTCCGTAATACGAAAAAGTGCAAGTTTGATTGCTTTGGTTTATGTTGTTTTACGGTATATCAATCTCAGTGGGTTATTTAATACCGACACAACTTTTAGAATTGGTCCATATGAATAGAATATGTATTCTTTGTAAGAATTCACTTAGTAGATCAGAATTCATTAACGTATTTTATAAGGTTTTTTTTTTCGAGTGTCAGATGTATTTCTGGCAATATTTTTTTAAAATTGTTTTGCTGGTAATAATTTTTTTTCAAAAATGCTTTGCTGGCATTTTTATTTTAAAAAAAAACAACTATTTTTACACTTTCATAGTGCTTTGACCTCAATTTTGGGGTTAACTATTTGCTCGTAACTGGGACCCTGATAGTTACTACCACCCCATATAAAGGATCACTTGGGAACACCAAAAATTAAGAGGTTGTTCCGCCCCTTATTTGGGGTTGGGGCTTACCGTCTGCAGCGGTCCAGCCTGCGTGTTCTGAAACCCCAACCGACAAGGCTGTACAAGATTGCAACTCTTATGGCAAGAAAGTTGAAGATAAATACGGATATAAATCAGAAAATTGTTCTGTTGAGCTTTCTCCCATGGTACCAAGACTATGAATCTAAGCGCAGCAATAGACTGAGGACGAAGTCTCATCAATTTACATCTGAGTTGGCGTGATGTAACTTTAAATTCGATACGAACAGTAAATCAGATCAACTCGATAAGGTCGAATTGATAGTTGATCTAAAAATGTCCTACAGTCTGTTGTTAACTGGAGCAAGAGATGGCTTATCAATTTTAACGTCGTCAAAAGGAAACTCTTCTATTTTAATCGTCTGAGAATGCCTTTACTCTTTTCAATCTGCACGACTGATGCGAAACTCCAAGTGAGATACTCGCTGCACCTTCTCAGACTAACGTTTTCCACTGACATGAAGTGGAGAGTATTTATTGAATCAATTTCTAGCTCTGCTGCTACTAATGTTGATTAACAGTGTCGTGCTAAACAATTTACTCGTCGGAATATATCATAGGCATTTATAAATTTACCATTCGTGTATGCATTTAATATTACTGTTGCTTCTGGTTTGCTGCTTCTGATTTTATCAAGAGATTGTTGATAATATCCAAAGAAGAATCTGTAATGTTACTGGTCTTGAGTTGGCATTTCAGGATCAGGCACTTTCCGACCGCCGTAACGTATCTTCTCAGTGCCTTTTCTATAAATATTTTAACGACAAATATTCTGGTGACCTTTCCTCTATTGGTAACTAAACATTATGAATTTAAGTACAGTACTAAATTGGCGGCAAGGTCTCATCATTTAGCGTTGAAATCTCTATCTATAAAAGGCAGAATGTGTATGTGTGTGTGTGTAACGAATGCACGGCAGCAATTTTCGACGGGTTTCCACCAAAATTTACATGCACATGCTCCAAGTTAGCAGGAAGGACAAGACCGCCATTGCATTTCCCAACTCCCATCGATAGTGGAAATAATCAATTTTTTCATGCTTCTACGGCAGTTTTTCATGTAGTTTGCGGCCATTTTGTACTGGCCAGAGTTGTTGTTTGCGGTGGCATGAATAAATAATGAAGCATGAGTTGAATACAGTCATGCTTCAACCAAACTGAATTTATTCCGATGAGCGCAAAAAAATACTGACTATTTTTTCTGCATTTAAATTGTTGAAGATGGTAGCAAGAAATCAGAAGAGATTTCCACAGGCGAGACAAGCGAGAGAAGGAATTATTAGAATAGAACTTGCGGTTATATCTAGTAATATTAAGAGTAAAAAGTGGACCTATTTGCCAATCTAGTAGTACGCTTAAATTCATGCGGTCAAGGTACCAAGGAGGCGTAATCATTCGAACAATTACTATGAACATATTTATAGAAAAGACACAAGGAATCCACGTCACGCTGGTAAAAAAAAAGTCACTGAAATCAAGATGCCAAGTAAGGACAGAAAACATTACATATATTTCTTTGGGTTTTGTCTAGAATCTTCAAGAACGTCATGCCAGATATGGCAGAAATATTCAATGCACGGGCGAATGATAGAGTTATACATGTGCAAGATGCATTCCAACGAGAGAAAATTGTCTGGTACGACAAAGTGAATGATCTTTCCTTACAGCAGAGCTGGAAATTGATCCAATATAATCACCCCACTTCATTTTAGTGGCAAATTTGAAACTAAGAAGGAGCAATGCATTGCACGGTTGGAGGGTAGCATCAGCCATACTGGTAGGAGTTAAAAAGGTTCTCTATGGTCATTAAAAGATAGGAGTTTCGTTTTGTAGGCGTTACCACATACAAGCCATTTGTTGTCCCAGTTAACGCCTGATTATAGATCATTTCGTCATTTTGATTTATGTCGTGTAATATATCTGGCCAATGAAAACACATAGCACAGAATTCAAAATAGCGAAACATTCTCATCCATCGTTTATTTCCAAAATATATTTGATAAAGCTAAAATATGATTGAACTTTATTTTATAAAAGTTTCCCTCGCATTTTTTATTCAGTCATTGTGTTGAATTAAACCCTATTTTTTCATTTCAATCTAAGTCCCATAAAACAACATGAAGAATTTTTTTAAGGTATATGTACGTGTTTCATCCAAATAACTTCAATTTTCCTAGATTTCTTATATTTTGTATTTATATACTTAATCTTCCTTTGGGCCTATGATTGCCGAAATTTATCGTAACGTTTCGGACCATCGCGTAGCAATCGTAGAAGGTTAACCCGATCGAAACTTTGCTAAGAAAGACAACAATCAAAAAACGAAAACTAATCTAGACAAAATATAACAATAATTTCCTTAGATATTTAAATGTTTTCCCTTATAGATTTATATAAGATAAAATCGTCCAGTGTATGACAATAAACACTACATCCAGCGAGAAGAGTTCTGATCGAGAGAATTCGAAGAGAGTAGAACAACCTCTTAATTGCTGTTGATCCCAGGTCCACCCTGACCTCCGGCAGTAGCATCTATCAAGTTTCCCAGCTATGGGCAAACAGTGAACCCCCTAAACTGGAGGGAAAAAAACTGAAGGTATAGATTAAAATATATATAAGCAACAGATTTTTGCAAAAGAAAAACAATTACCAGCAATAGATTTTTGTAAAAAGAAAAAGCTAGTCAAGTGCCCAACAAAATTAATTTTCGGCATTGAAAGACTAACGAGAAGGGGATGTATCATTAAACAAACAAACAAATATATAAGTAAAAAATTATTTCTAAATTAATTCGTCTTGATTTAGAATTTTGCAAAGACCACCGCCTTGGATTATGTTTGGAAAAAAACCCCCAAAAAAACCAACTCAAATGACACTTCCACACATAAAGCAGATACTTAGATACTCCGATTTACTGAATGATTACACATATGGACATAGGTGTCAAAAAACTTCAGATTCAATTATTTACCCATGTGCGCATGCGTAAATAATTGAATCAGTGTGTGTATGGAAAAAAATGTATGTATCTCTGTTTATGAAGAGAGAAGAGATATGTAAACATATATCTGTTTGATTCTCCCGCTGGTTATTTTTTTTTTTCAATAAATAAGTAAAAAGACAAACATATCAATGAGCCAACATATGTCAGCGTAATCATTTGGAAAGACGTGCTAAAAGCAAACACATTTATATGTAAATGTCAGGCGATATATTTTTTTCTTCTTCTTCCCATCTGTGCTCGATCCTGAGTGTACGAATAGATATTATTCGCTACCGGGAATACCCACTGAGTATCCAAACACTACAGCGAATTCGAAAAAAAAAAAAAAAAAAAAACAAAAACAAACGTAAAGATAAATCAAGAGCGGAAAGGTTGTTAGCGCATGCGCTGACATATTGTTTGGAAAAAAAAAAACCTTAAACGAAATACACATATCAATCGGAAGCAAGAAATATACTTGTTAAACAAAATGATATAGGCATGCGCAGCCTGAAGTTTGCTATCTTGACCTGCTAACGGCTACGGTGTCATGGGGGAAGAGATGAGGGGGAAATGGCGCGATACGAAGCAAATTGTCCTTTCTGGAAACAGCTCACGCTTGGCAGAGTTAAAATATTTATCTTGCTGCTGTGCTAGAGGTTTGGAGGGAGGAACAACAACAACAACAACAAAAATCAATCAGTTTATCTTTGTCTAACAAAATTCATTCTGCCTAGAAATTTCGGGTATAAGTCGGACTAATGGCGTCGACTTAATATTGTTCCGAAAAAAAAAATTCTAATTACAAAAAATATTCGAAAATTAGGATAATTTTATGTGTTAAAATGAAAAAAAAAAAGATTCATTTTCAGGAAAGCAGAACTTCTGATAAAAATTCTCAATAGAAATAGTAAGCATCTGTTTCTCTAGCGAGATAAGGGTAGGTCTGTGTTTGGTCAAAATTCAGTCCTTTCGTGGTGAAATTGGAGTGAACTCTCCGTGGGGCATGCCTGGGTGATGTTATATGGAGACCATGCACTGCCCAGACTACATGAGCCTCCACTTTTGTGGCCGTACCCATAAAACCGAAAGAAATACCCGGCATTACATCTGAAACCGGCTTGGCTGCAGGAGTTGCTGGAATGTTGTCAGTGTTGACAGGCAACCGTCTTCGGGTCCCACTCTGGGTTTTCTCTCTGGATTTACATCCATAGACTTTTCTACGCTTGGATATAACCGAAAGACAGCGGAGTTTTAAAATAAGTGTTTTCCTACCCCTAGATGGACTGCCTTTATAGGCTGTCGAACTGCAAATACCTGAAAAGGCTGGTTATGAGGCGCCAGTTCTCCGCCTTTACCAATTATCCACCTTGGAGATGGACAGTTGCCAGAGACTATTTGAGAGGTATGTCCCAAAAGCATTTTATAGGCAGTGCGATCTTTTACTCAATATCGCCTCCGGCGATGACAAACCGTGAAACATATATAATATACGTATATAGATTTTACATTACGTGTTTTAGAAGCTCTCCAAAAACGAAGGTTTTTTTTTCTTTAATATATAAAGAAAAACACTAAAAATGCAAGACACATTATCAGATAGTCATGCATTTATAAATAATTCTTTTTTTTAAGCATTTCACCCCTAGCAAGGCGGGAAGCCACTAGGACGCAAGGGGTTACAAAAAGTTTAGAGCAAGTTCAGATAGGAGTGATAGAAGAAAGGATGAGGGTAGTGGATAGATCAAGGCAACTGGAGATGTCGATTGACATTACACTTGAATAGCTGGTGATTATAGCTCACAGGGAATCAGGAATAGGGAAGGGAGTTCCACAGGCGAGAGGTGCGAGATATGAAGCTATTGGAGTAGAAGAGACGGCTACATTTAGGAGTTTCGACAGTGAAGGGGTGAGAGCGGGATGCCAGCCTCGTATGGCGCTTGTACTCATGACGTCTGGGAACCAGCGAATGCAGCTCCTCGGAGCAATTTCCATGAAAGTATTTGTGGAACAGACAGAGGGAGGCGACGACGCGTCTGTGAGAAAGTGACTGTAGACGAGATGCCAGAGCGGGGCCAACTACATTGCATATCCGCCTCTGGAGCCTATCAAGAACCCCGACACAAATAGCCACAAATATCGAATAGTAGAAATAAATAAATGAAAATATATATCGGTTTTTAAAACTAAAATACTCGGATAACAATAGATAACTCGAGCTATACTTTAACATCAATACACGAAAGGTTATTCGTGATTATGAACAGATTTTATTAAAAATCAGCAAACATAATATCTGTAATTTATTCAATCAGACACACACACACTCACACATATATATTCAATAAATTTAAAAAGAAAGATCAGATAAATCAATTAACTTTTCTTAATTTACTGACTGTTAAGAAAGTCAAAATACATATACGCCGAACAATTTCGCCATTTGCTTGTTGCCGACCATATTGTTTTTAATCATTTCACCCAATGCAAGGCAGTAAAGCCAATAAGACGCAAAGCGGATTATGATAGAATCAGAAAAAGGAGAAACGTTATTAAGGAAGAAGAACAATAGAAGTGTAATCAAGACAAAGAATAAAGATTGAAATTGCATTTACATTTTTGAAGATCAAAGTTGGCTGGAAACAATGCAGCCGGAAGAAAGTCCCACAAATGAGAAGTGCGAGAAAAGAAACTATTAGCATTCTGATATATCTAGCCACTTCAACTCGAAATTGGCGAGACATTGCCGTCAATATGAGTCAGTTATGTGCCATGCGTGATACACGCTTAGGCGATCATGTATTTTTGGATTTTTGGACTAACGAGGCAGATCATTTTTCCCGCAGCACGTTGCCATTTCTTTCTGCGCTATACCAGTTGCAATCCAAGGATATAGAACCTGGTCTGCCCTTCTATTTACTAAAGGTTATTAGCACACAAGTGAATGTAATAGATTCCACTGGAATTCGAACTCGGCTCTCCGATTCCTTAATCCGAGCCGCTATCCATAACGCAATAATTTTTTAGCTCAAATTCATAAAGTCTACGTACAATAGCGAAGAGTTCATGCGAACAATTACTATGAAAATATTTATAGAAAATGCACAGAGAAGGTACATTGCAGTAGTGGGAATGTGACTGAAGCCGAGATTCCAGATCAGGAACAATAATATTGCTAATCCTTCTTTGGATTTCATGAAGAATCTTTAAATATTTAGATAGAGCACCGGGCTATATGCAATATTCAAAACATTGCAGACTTCTAAATATGGAAGACAGATTCTTGAGGGAAAATTATCTAGCACCACACAGTGAACCAAATTTCTTAGCAGCAGATTTAGCAATAGATTCAGTGTCATAACTCTACTTCATGTCAGCCAAGAAGATTAGCCTGAGAAGAAGAAAAAAAAGTCATGTTCCTGGAGGTTAGCATCAGCCATGGCGATGTGAGGTGGAAAGAGCTCTCTCAGATGATTAATGAGGATAAGTTTCGTTTTGGAGGCCTTAAAATTAACAAGCCATTTTTCAGCAAGCCGTCTGTAATAGCTGCAGGTAAACTGGCGTGATTAAGTCCAAACTTGAATCACGTGGCCACAAGAGAACCAACTATAAGCACGCAAGAGCAGCAGACTGTGTGACAAATCTAAAAAAAAATGTTATGGCGAAAATGCAGATAATTTCTTACTACACACCCTCTCTCTCTCTCTCTTCACACACACACACACACACACACACACACACACACACACACACATATATATATATATATATATATAAATTCATGAATCATTCATACAAAAAACAAATATAGAGGTTAATGATTTAAATGGCGAGAATACATCTTCGCAAATATATAAATAAGACACACCAACACCGAATCTGTATATGAATGTTTTGATCCCTGTTCATAAATTCCAGTTGCATAAGGTCTTTTTAATTTTTTTACAAGCTTTTGTCTGTTCCCACCGACATCCTCAGGTATGGAAATAGATTTTGTTCTTGTTTTTACTTCTCGCTAATAAGAGGACAACGAAAATAGAGATGTAATCCGAAAAAATGCTATGAGAAATGTGTTATTGTTTTGGAACGTGCGGTCGCAACGCTGAGTTTGAATTTAAATTTTAAGGTTGTGCATTTTTGTACAAATATAGCAATAAGAGAATTCTATTTTACTGGCAGATTTTCCGTGAATATGGCATGAACTAATATTGTTCAATAATTACACTAATGTCACACTTATTATCCGAGAGTTGCACGTTGGATCAGTTATTTTAATTTCAATTAAAAGGTGCAAATATATTTTTTGTATGAATGATTCATAAATTTATGAATTATATTTGCACCTTTTAATTGAAATATATATATATATATATATATATATATATTAAAGACATTTTTTTTATGTTTAACGTTGTTATTTTATAGATACAAGTATTTAAGCAAATGCTCTGTTTATGATAAACAGTATTAAATAACATTTACCGGCCTGAATGTCCGAGAAATTTTCATAGAAAACATTCGTTCTTTGACAGGATTCGAACTTGCATCCTATACGGAACCGTCATATACGCTGACGTGCCTTACCTCTAGGCTACAAAGAAGCGTTCGGTAGGCAAGGTCGAATTTACTGCTTATAAACTCCAATCTTCCATGAATCTCGTACATTCATAACTGCTCTGTCGTATCAAATGTAAACAAATGACGTCATATATTAAGAAATGGACAAGGTCCGACAATTTATTTATTAAAGACATTTTTTTTATGTTTAACGTTTAAAAAAAATGCCTTTAATAAATAAATTGTCGGACCTTGTCCATTTCTAATATATATATATATATATATATATATATATATATATATATATATATATATGCCGTGTGTAACAAAAAAATGAGAGGGAGAGAAGGTGAGAGAGAGAGAGCTTAAAATTAACTATGTTAATTGCAGAATAGTGTTATCAAGCTTGTTTCGCTAGATACTTTACGCCTGGATACTGGTTTGGATCCTACTTTCGGCTTTGTACCACATCCAAGATACTATTCGATAATCATCAGTCAAAATTTATGCAGCGTTTGTGAAGATATATATTCACCGACAATATTTCATGTTTTTCATGCATATATGTGCATATACAATCACGCTCATAGATTTAAATACACACACACACATACACACACACATATATATATAGATATACACACACATATATACACAGACATATATATATACACACAGATACATATACACACATATACATATATATACACTTGTATATATACCTATATATATATATATATATATATATATATA